AAAAAAAAAAAAAAAAAAAAAAAAAGAAAAAACTGAGGTGCATCAAGAAAAATAAATCAGCACCCATCACATACGCATCATTAAAACCATGCATGAAAGAAAAGAGAAAAAGTGCTGCAGTAAAGACTTTCAGTAATGCATACGCCGATTAGAATCTCGCTACAGAGATCTGGGGAAACTTATCCTAAAACACTTGAAAAACCTCCAGATGCCTGGAGTCGACATTTCAGTCACAGTCTTCGAACATTTCGTTTGCTTTCGGCACTTCCTGGAAGCAGGGTGTCCTTCTTGCGACGCCCCGCTGACCGACTCCCACACTCTCTGGACCCATGGAAAGCACACAGACACGACATGCAGAACTGGAACCTGCAGTCACCTCTGCTGCACACACCCTCCCCTTTCACTGAGTGACACCTGGCAGGATGCTGACATCTTGGGCAGGGTTTGATGCACTCATCGCTAAAGAGTGTTTTTGCAACCTGGAAGAAAGTGAAAAACAAAAATTTAATTTGTGCCTTAGACTTCTGGAGGACATAGGGACCCCCATTTCATCATTCCATCTCTATTCTCCCAGTCTGCAGAATCTGTTAGTTTAACCTCTAACGTTCTGCTCTCTCTGCTTTTTCTCATAGTAGTTTTGCCTCATCTGTTTCTGTTTGGCTGCGACTCCATCCTGGAGAGAAATATCAGCTGTGCTGCTGCCATCAACTCCTTTGTTTATAGATGTTGGAGATCGGCCTGTTTTCCCAGTGTAGTCCTGTTTCTCTGACTGACTGGCTGGATGTGCTCTCTTCATCCTCTAACATGGGAGCTGGCTTGGAGCTCGACTGCCTGGCTGTTTGTTTCCTGGCCTTTTACAGCTGCTTTTTGTATCTCTGCTTCTGTCTCCTTGAACCCCAGTCAGCCTCGGCAGATGGCCGCTCACACTGAGTCTGGTTCTGCCTGTTAAAAGGGGGTTTTTCCTCCCCACTGTCACTACAAGCATGCTTAGTGTAAGGGATTGCATTTGAGTCAATGAATCGATGCAATCAACTGGTTTTCCTTAGGTAGAAAACTTTGAATCAATCTGACTGTATGCTCTGGTCAAACTGTAAGGTGCCTTGAGATGACGTGTTGTGAATTGGAGGTATAGAAATAAACTGAATTGCATTACTTTCAACTTACCTCCAGAAATTTTTCATGCTTGCTGCTGCCGCCTGTGCTTAAAGTGCTGTTTGCTGACTGCTGGGTGCTGCAGCTGTTGGTTCTGGACCGGGCC